AGAGGGATTGTGACATCCCCAGGCAATCCAGATTCTACGGCAAACTACACCACCGCCAAGAATCTCAATGGAATGGGATGGACCCTGGTACCCTTTCCCCTACCTAGGAACTAGCGTGCCTGTGGGAAAAATCCCAAAGGCCAAAAAGAGGAAGGGCAAAAGGGAGGGGTGGGGAGGAGGAGGAGGAAAGGAAAAGGGGAGGATGGGATAGGGAAGGGGGGATTGGGGGGTAATTAGGTTCAGTCTGAGGAAGGAGACCAACAGGTCTAATTCCTCAGACCAAGAGTATCTTCACCACGACAAGGAGCCCCCCTTGAAGAGGCCTGCCCGACAGAGCTGTGAGACCCTTGCACGTTCAGCACTTCTTTTTGATTATAATAATATCACCTGACATGTTACTGATGTATACTCATACTGCATGGGCAGCTGCTTCACAGCCTTGTTGAATACCAAAAGCGAGTTACGTTGGTTTCAACATTGCAGCAACCTCTTAACTCTCTATTCTCACTCTGAAGGGTGTTGCTAACTGCACTGAGCCTGATACCTCCATCCTTTTTCTGGAGGGCACATAGTGATGCACCAAAAAGTGGCCATAATGGCCTGGACACATTGGAAAATTTGGCAAGTTCAGACAGCATCCTCTATGAAATATCCCCTAGTGCTGGATTGAGCATTTATTTTAAATGTTGTGGCCTTAAACCAATGAAACCCCCTGCTGAGCCCTGTGGAAATGGCATGACAGCTTTATACACAAAAAGCATCCTGTAGGGCTAAATGTTCTTCACCTGCTGCACTGTCAGGGAGGTCAATGTTGGTACTGGGAGCTCTGGGTGGATGTTTGTCCTTCAGAGCTTGTGTTGTAATGACGTCCTTAGGGGCAATGGTATCCTTACCGGTTATAAGCCTCACTGCTCCAGCAGCATTTCCCCCTTCTATATTTTTGTTAATTTGGGCTCTAATTTTGGAGACAGATGTTCTGTTGTTAACATTTCCCCAACAGGTGTTTGTCTCCCTAAAGGGAAGATGGATGAGGTTGCCATCTCAGGAATGCATTTAATGCCCTAATAAAAGATGTTGCCAGGGACTTGTCCCTCCCAGGTGGGACAGCCAAACAGGCATTGCCAGAGAGCAGTAGACTGTGCTAGGATCCATTGATTTCAGGGGCATCATTGACTTTTTTCAGGTCAGTGAATTTACTAGCAGCTTGAGGGTGTGCTGCATTGGAGAAGTGTGTCAGCATCCTGGTAGATGTTAATTTGATTGCAGATTTTAGGTTCTCTGTAGAGGTGAAGTCAGGGTGGCTGTCAGTTCTGTCTGCTGGGAGGGGCTGTTAGTTCTTCCCAGTAGAAGCCTTCCAAGAACCTGGGCACTCATTGCATGCACAGATGTTGAGACTTGTGGGATTGAGTACACATTTCTGGTTGCACACCTGGATGATGCCTTGTGGATGAGGTCCACAATGTTGGCTATGCCCTTGGGAACTCTGCACACCCCCTTCAAGGCATGTGAAATTGCTGACCTGGAGAATGTACAGAAAACTTTCATGGCACACATAACTACGATAAAGCACCTAAATTACTGGGAACGGTTGAAATCCCTTGATCTATATTCCCTGGAACACAGACAAGAAAGATGCACTGGAAAATCCTAGAGGGATTAGTACCTAACCAACACACAAAAATCACTCCCTATGAAAGCAAAAGATTTGGCACAAGATACAACATTCCCCACTGAAAAGTAGGGATGCCATGAGTACACTAAGAGACAACACAATAATTGTCTTGGGCCCAAGACTGTTCAACTGGCTCCCAGCATACTTCAGGGGGATTACCAATAGACCCCTGGCTGTCTTCAAGAAGGCGCTGGACAGACACCTGAAGTCAGTACCTAATCAGCCCTGCTGCAGTTTGTATGTCAGTTTATGTGCTGCCAGAATTAACAGCCTGTTTGATCAGACCCTGATCCACCATGAGGCCTGGTCTCCTACTGGGCTGCAGGGGTGTTGACCCCTGAAACCCTCTCCAGGTAAACCTTGTGACATTGCTGGCATCGTGGGCATGGGGGAACACCAATTGGGAAAACATGGGTGAAGGGAGGCATATGTTACTTATGCGTGCATACACACACACACACATACATACACGTTAGGAAGTATTTCTTCAGTCATAGAGTAGTTAGGAAGTGGAATAGTCTGGCAAGCGATATAGTCTACTTGGAGTCTACCTGGAGGGCATTCCGGGGATCAACGCCCCCGCGGCCCAGTCCACAACCAGGCCTCCTGGTGGATCAGGGCCTGATCAATGAGACTGTTACTGCTGGCCACACACAATCCAATGTATGAACCACAGCCCGGCTGATCCGGCACCGTCTTTAGGTATCTGTCCAGCTCCCTCTTGAAGACAACCAGGGGTCTTCCTGTAATGCCCCTTATTGCTGGTGGGAGGCTGTTGAACAGTCTTGGGCCCTGGACACTTATTGTGTTTTCTCTTAGTGTACCAGTGACGCCCCTACTTTTCACTGGGGGTATGTTGAATTGCCGGCCAAGTCTTTTGTTTACGTATGGAGCGATTGCTGTGTGCATATTAGGGACTAGTCCATCCAGAATCTTCCAGGTGTAGATTATGATATACCTCTCTCGCCTGCACTCTAGTGAGTACAAGTCAAGTGCCTCCAGGTGCTCCCAGTAGTTAAGGTGTTTGATGGAACTTATACGTGCAGTAAAGATTCTCTGTACATTCTCTAGCTCTGCAATTTCACCTGCCTTGAATGGGGATGTTAATTTGCAGCAGTATTCCAGCCTAGAAAGAATAAGTGATTTAAAAAGGATCATCATTGGCTTAGCATCTCTTGTCTTGAATGTTCTCATTATCCATCCTATCAGTTTCCTAGCAGATGTGATAGTGGCATTGTTGTGGTCCTTGAAGGTGAGGTCTTCGGACATTACCACACCCAAATCCTTCACATTACTTTTCCACTCTATTGTGTGATTGGAGTTTCTAGTATGCTCAGTTCCAGTTATTATTTCCTCCAGTTTTCCATAACAGAGTATTTGGAATTTGTCTTCATTGAACATCATATTGTTCTCTGTTGCCCATTGGAAAACTTGGTTTATATCTTCTTGGAGCTTTGCCGTGTCCTCAATGGATGTCACTCTCATGCAGATCCTAGTATCGTCTGCAAAAGATGATACAGTGCTGTGGTTTACATCTCTATGTCAGATATGAGAATAAGAAACAAGATAGGTGCGAATACTGTGCCTTGTGGGACAGAGCTCTTCACTATGGCAGCATCCGATTTAACTCTGTTTACCACTATTCTTTGTGTGCGATTGGTTAGAAAGTTGAAGATCCATCTCCCTACTTTGCCGGTTATCCCTTTAGCATGCATTTTGTGTGCTATTACACCATGGTCGCACTTGTCAAAGGCTTTTGCAAAGTATACTACATCCGCATTCTGTTTGTTTTCCAGTGCATCTAGGACCATATCATAGTGGTCAAACAGTTGAAAAAGGCAGGAGCGACCTGCTCTGAAACCATGTTGCCCTGGGTTGTGCAATTTTTGGGGTCCAGGTGGTTTGCTATCCTGCTTCTTAGAATTCTTTCAAAGAATTTTATGATGTGGGACGTTAAAGCTATTGGTCTATAGTTCTTAGCTACTGCTTTGCTGCCACCTTTATGGAGTGGGGCTATATCTGTTGTTTTTAGTGACTGTGGAATCTCGCCTGTGTCAAAGCTCCTTCTCCATAGCATACTTAACCCTTTGACTGTCGCAGGCCCCTTTCTGAAACTGTCATTCTATGTCGATAAATTTTTGAAAAAAAAAAAAAAAAAAAAATCTTATGAAATGATAGAGAATCTTTTCCCGATGGTAATGACACCAAAAGTTTGAAATTTGGTCGAAAACTCAGGGAATTACGTTCCCGCAAAGTTAGCAGTCTCAGCGACATATGGACATCTGCGTATCGGCAATTTCGCCGAATTTGAGCCCTGTTTTCAGCCAATTCCATTGTTCTAGTTGACCGAACTCATAGCTATTTCTTTAGAACTCCATTTTATCTATTAGCTGAGTGCAAGAAACCGCCTATTTACCAATTTGAACTACCCAATAAAGTGGTCAGAAATTGGCAATTTGGCCAATTTCACGCAAATTAAAAAAGATGCCAACTTCAAAATAGGGTTCAGAATAAACAATGTAGACATTCTTGGCACTAAAATAACATATCCTCTGTTCATTAGTCACATCTGTAGGCCCCTCTTATATTATTATTGCTTTCTATTTTGATTTTTTATTCATACAGAAAAATACAAAATTTACTGTTATGCAGACTACTGCATTATTGTAAAAATGGTATAAATAACATAAGTGCACTAGTGAAAGAATATCAGACTCCCCAGTTGACGAGTATTAGACGTGTGGTGTGATTTGTTTACTCCTGAACATTGGTAAAAATCGAACATTTCTGTTACTTTGAGCTCAGTTTCAAGGTCGTTTTCATCGTCAAAGTAATGAAAATCATCTCTATTTCTGTAATATGCTTTCCATTTTATCACCTAAGACCATGAAAACGCGAATACAGCAATAAATACTATACGAAAATACACCTCAAAGTTGGCTTTTTAATCCAAAAAAAAGGTCAGTTTTTTTTTCTCATTACGCACTGTGTGCTGTAGGATTTTTTTATGTGGTGCACACTGACCCATTCTCTCACATATGGGCCTACCAGCTTTCTCCTGCTGCTACATTATTTGCTACATTCTTCCATTTTGTGTGTCTTGGACTGAAGTCACCAAGCAGCAAGATGCTTGGGGATGGGGCTGGAAAGTTATCCAGACAGGAGTCAATTTTTGAGGCAGGAACTATATCTAGTTTTAAGATGAGGTGTGATCAAGGTCATGGAGCAGGGAGAGGGAAGACCTAGTAGCGATCAGGGAAGAGGCGGGGCCAGGAGCTGAGTCTCGACCCCTGCAACCACAACTGAGTACATAAATCCTGTCACACAGGCTCTGCTTGGGGAAAAGAACGGCAAGGAAATAAGGTGGTTCTATGCTGGAGTTCTCATCAGTGACCGATGGGTTCTGTCTGCTCTCCACTGTGTTCTCGCCACGTAAGTAGAATTTTTTGTTTTATGAAAGTAAATACAGTAAGAATTTAATTCATTCAGTCTTAAAACAGACTAGTGTTCTAATTATATTATTAATAGCTAGCACAAGGCCCAAGACGATATTGGCATATAATTAGTTATTCGGTTTGTTAATTTTAAGTAGCTATGTATAGTAAGGGTAATTTTTTTCTATTTGTGTTAGGTTCCAATTTCATAAAAATCTTTGAAAGGGTTCCAAGAGGCAAGATCGCCACCCATCTAGATACCCATCAGTTACACAACCCAGGACAACATGGGTTTAGAGCAGGTCGCTCATGGCTGTGCCATCAACTGGACCACTATGACAAGGATTTTGATGCTTTAGAGAACAAACAAAATGAAGATGTAGTATACATAGACTTTGCAAAAGCCTTGGACAAGTGTGACCATGGTGTAATACCACATAAAATGCGAGATAAAGGAATAACAGGAAAAGTTGGTAGATGGATCTGTAAATGCCTAACAAACTGAACACAGAGTGTAATAGTAAACAGAGTATAGTTTGAGGTGACTACAGTGAAAAACTTTGTTCCACAAGGCACAGTACTCGCCCCCCCTCCTGTTGCTCATCCTCAAATCTGACACAGACAGAGATGTAAACCACAGCACTGTGTTTTCTTTTGCGGATGACACCTGAATTTCCATGACAGTGTCCTCCACTGAAGACAATGCAAGACTCCAAGTGGATATCAACCAAATCATTAAACGTGAAGAGAAATTTCAATTACTCAGACATGGATAACTTGAAGAAATTTTCATCGGAGTATAAAACAAAATCCAACCACAGAATAGAGTGAAAAACTATTGCGAATGACCTGGGCGTGATAATGGCAGATTTCATTTTCAAAGATCAAAATAATGTATCTGCTAGAAAAAATGATAGGATGGATAATGAGAACCTTCAGAACTAGGGATACCAAGCCCATGATGATTCTCTTCAAATCGCTTCTACTCTTTAGGATGGAATATTGCTGTACACTAACGGCAGGCAATATTTCTGACCTGGTGAATGTACAGAGACCCTTCACAGCACACACAAGTATGATAAAGCATCTAAATTACTGGGATGGATGAAGTACATTGATTTGTATTAAATTACTGGGAATGACTGAAATCGCTTGACTTGTATTCCCTGGAATGAAGATGTGAAAGATACACGATAATATACACTTTGAAAAATCCTAGACGGATTATCAAATTTGCACATGAAAATCACTCCTTACAAAAACAAAAGACCCAGAAGGAGATGCAGCATCCCCTCCAATGAAAAGCAGTAAGTTTATTCAGGTATACACAAATACAGTTACACAGATCATACATAGCATCATATGTGTACAGAACCTGGGATAACCCAAAAAAGTCAGACAGAGTGACTTATTTCCATTGGGGCCCTTTTGTCACCTTATCAGTAATATTACATTAATATATAAAATCAAATGTGGTAGATAAGAAATATATAAAAATGACATATAAAAGATGATGAAGATAGAATGAGTAGACCACAAGAATTATGATATAAAAACATATGAAAAATATTAAATTATAATAGATTTCACTCTCAAAAATTAATTATCAATCTTTTGGAATACAATGATAAATAGAAGACAATGAATATCTATCAGAAAGTAATAAGCATTCTAAGGAATCCATTTATTGCCCCAATAACAGATGTTGCTAAGTGCTTGTCCCTCCTTGGTGGGACAACCAGACAGCCATTGCAAAGAGCAGTAGGCTGTGCCAGAATCTGCTGTTGCAGGGACACCATTGTCCCTCCCCAAGAGGTCAGCGAATTTGCTAGCAGCCCGAGAGAGAGCTGCTTTGGAGTTGTGTCAGCCTCCTGGTGAACATTAATTTGTAATTTGAATGCAGATCCCAGGTCCTCTGTGGAGGTGAAGTCATGGTAGCTGTTAGCTCTGTCTGCTGGGAGGGGTGGTTGGTTGTTCCCACTTGTGGCTCTCTGGGAGCCTAGACATCCAGTGTGTGCACAGATATAGAGATTTGAGGGACTGAGTGCACACTTCCTGTGGCACACCTGACAGTTGCCTCGCGGTCGAATTCAGGGGCACTGGCTCTGTAGTGGAAGTTCCTGGGAACTAGGCACATCTTGTGACATCATGGGCATTTGGCTCCAGCATGTTGGCCTGATGGGGCTTGAGGCTGGGAGAGGAAAAGTACCCTCTACATTTGGGGTGTTGCTGGGAGTTGGGTAGATGAGGCAAGGGAGTTGAATGGTGGAGGGGTAGGTAGTTTGGTGGGGAAAGCCCAGGGTGAGGGATTATGAGAAGAGGGGAAGGGTCACTGTACACTACACACAGGGTAAGCCCAAGGAGTGGCGTGAGGGGGCACTTCTCTAGACACGGATTGTGAACTATTGTTCACACTGTCCTGCTGACCATAAACACAACATTTATTTGTTTCCCATGCACATCATAAAAGTTGTGGGTATGTGACTGCTTAGAACCAGTGTGTTCCCATTACTAATTTTACAAATTGTTATATTCTTAAATATTCTGAACTACCTCACTATTGTAAATCCATTTAATCATTTGTAATTTGTAATACGTATAGAGTAAGGATTATTATGTCTGCCTGAAATGCCTAGGCATGCTAGTGGCCTTCTTTGCAATTATTGTTTTAGAACATGTAAATCACCCATTGTAATCTTTACAGAGAAATAAACATCTGAATTTGAATCTTCACCTACACACCCTGCAGGGGCGCCATGAGTATACTATGAGACAACACAATAAGTGTCTGAGGCCTAAGACTGTTTAACTGCCTCCCAGCATACATAGACCCTTGGCTGTCTTCAAGGTGTGGGACAGGCACTTAAAGTCAGTACCTGACCAGCAGGGCTGTGGTTCGTATGTCGGTTTGCATGTGACCAGTAGTAACAGCCTGATTGATCAGGCCCTGATCCACTGCAAGGTCTGGTCACAGTCTGGGCTACAGGGGCCTTGACTCCCAAAATTGCTGTCCAAGTATTGTACAAGCAAATAATTACAAAAGAAAAATGAGTTTCACCTTACGCCTGCTACCTTTCTATTTTAATTAATATGATTTTGCGCTAATGTTAACTTAGTAACCAAAACTAACCTTACTAAAAGAAACAGTTTATAAAAGATTAATTTATATATCCTTTCTAAGACTTTACTTATTGTTAAATTTTCATTTTGTAATTTGGGAAATGAGAGTGACAATTTTTCAGAACCCACATGACTTACATAACCTAGACAGTGAGGGGCAGATTTAACTGTCTTAAGACATGAAAAAGTTAATTATTTTTTTGTACACCTGGAGATACCTGAATAGGGTTTCCGTGGTCCACGCCCTCCTGGCCTGGTCTTAGACCTGGCCTTGTGGGCTCCTGGAGTTTACCTGGAGTTTACCTGAAGAGAATTCCGGGGGTCAACGCCCCCGCGGCCCGGTCTGTGACCAGGCCTCCTGGTGGATCAGAGCCTGATCAACCAGGCTGTTGCTGCTGGCTACACGCAAACCAACGTACGAGCCACAGCCCGGCTGATCAGGAACTGACGTTAGGTGCTTGTCCAGTGCCAGCTTGAAGACTGCCAGGGGTCTGTTGGTAATCCCCCTTATGTGTGCTGGGAGGTAGTTGAACAGTCTCGGGCCCCTTACACTTATTGTATGGTCTCTTAACGTGCTAGTGACACCCCTGCTTTTCATTGGGGGGATGATGCATCGTCTGCCCAAGTCTTTTGCTTTGTAGTGAGTGAATTTTTGTGTGCAAGTTCGGTACTAGTCCCTCTAGGATTTTCCAGGTGTATATAATCATGTATCTCTCCCACCTTGCGTTCCAGGGGAATACAGGTTTAGGAACCTCAAGTGCTCCCAGTAATTGGAGGTGTTTTATCTCAGTTATGCGCGCCGTGAAAGTTCTCTGTTACATTTTCTAGGTCGGCAATTTCCACCTGCCTTGAAAGGTGCTGTTAGTGAGCAGCAATATTCCAGCCTAATAGAACCAAGTGACCTGATGATGTCTCATGGGCTTGGCCTCCCAAGTTTTGAAGGTTCTCATTATCCATCCCTGTCATTTTTCTAGCAGATGCGATTGATACAATGTTATGGGTCCTTGAAGGTGAGATCCTCCGACATGATCACTCCCAGGTCTTTGACGTTGTGTTTCGCTCTATTTTGTGGCCAGAATTTGTTTTGATACTCTGATGAAGATTTAATTTCCTCATGTTTACCATATCTGAGTAATTGTAAATTTCTCATCGTTGAACTTCATATTGTTTTCTGCAGCCCACTGAAAGATTTGGTTGATGTCCGCCTGGATGCTTTGCAGTGTCCTGCATTGAGGAAGACACACTTCCATGCTGACACTGTCAATGGCAGTGTGGAAACTTCACATTGCTTCCCTTCCTAGGAATGATGACTCATTAACACATTCGTGAACCATGTAATCACTGAACCCACATCAGGAGACATTTTCTATTACTCTTCACGAGTGAAATACCACCCGAACAACAATGATGTTATGGAACACTATACAGTAAGATGTAATATATTAATAAAATTTACTGAGTAGAATACCTCATTATAGCACACCTCAAGTGGGTTTTCGTCTTGGGTGAACATTGACTAGCAATGAAACGACAACGATGGTGCTGCTCATGAGGACTTCAGTATAGTTGATATCATCCCACATCCTGAGTACTTCCACCCTCAGGCATACCATGACGTGGTGCTCCTCAAACTGGACCACAAGGTTAAGTTGAAGGTTAGTGGTGCCTTTACCATACTCAATTTGCTTTAATCAACTACTTGGCCCTATTCATTTCACTGAAGATTACTTTCTACATGAGCAAATTACCAGCACAAGGGTGACCTAGTAAAGCTCAATGGCAGGACATATAACAATAATAACAAAAATAAAATTTATTTCTTTTAATAACTTGTTAATTATACACCATTTTTCAGCCTTTTATCAACCCAGTGTGTCTGCCGTGGGGAAGAGAGAGCAGTCACAGTCAGGTATATGGACAGAATGTCATTCACCCAACTGCAGGGCGACACACAGTTTGGTCAGTGATATGACAGTTCAGTACGTGTAAAAATAAATATATGAAGTTTAAAAGTCACAGTAGAGGACCTAGAATCATTTCACTCCACAATCTGTGAGGTCGCTCTGCACCATCCTGTGTAACTCTTAATCCTTAAACTGTCCAAACGTAGATCTACGCTTGCGTGCGTAGCACTCCGAACATAGATCTACCTTTTTTTTTACATAAGAAACAATGTAAAATCAAATGCAGATCTATGTTCAGAGCGCTACGCATGTGAACGTAGATCTACATTTGGACAGTTTAAGGGCTAAGCAGTAAGTTGACAATGGTCTAAGAGACCAAACGAATTGGATCAATTTTTTTATATATATAAAGAGGGAAATTATTTCCCAGTAAAAGTAGGCCTTAGACAAGGATGTGTGATGTCGCTGTGGTTGTTTAATATATTTAAAGATGGGGTTGTAAGAGAAGTAAATGCGAGGGTCTTGGCAAGAGGCGTGGAGTTAAAAGATAAAGAATCACACATAAAGTGGGAGTTGTCACAGTTGCTCTTTGCTGATGACACTGTGCTCTTGGGAGATTCTGAAGAGAAGTTGCAGAGATTGGTGGATGAATTTGGTAGGGTGTGCAAAGAAGAAAATTAAAAGTGAATCAAGGAAAGAGTAAGGTTATAGGATAACAAAAAGATTTAGGTGAAATGAAAGATGGATATCAGATTGGAGGAGAGAGTATGGAGAGGGATGTATTCAGAATATTTTGGGAGTGAAAGTGTCAGTGGATGGTCTATGAAAGATGAGTTGTATCATAGAATTGATGAAGGGGAAAAGGTGACAGTGCACTTAGGATCTGTGAAGACAAATAACTTCGTCCTTTGAGGCAAAGATGGGAATGTATGAAGTATAGTTTTTACCAACGCTCTATTGGGTGTGAAGCATGGGGTGATGAATGTTGCAGTGAGGAGAGGCTGGAGGCAGTGGAGATGTCATGTCTGAGGGCAATGTGTTGGTGTGAATATAATGCAGAGAATTTGTAGTTTGGAAGTTAGGATGAGGTGCGGGATTACCAAAACTGTGTGTCCCGTGGGCGAAGAAGGGTGTTGAGTGGTTCGGACCTGTAGAGAGAATGGAGCTAAGCAGATGACTTCAAGAGTGTATCAGTCCCTGTAGTGGAGGAAGCGGGGTAGGGGGTCGTCCTAGGAAAGGTTGGAGAGGGGGTTAAGGAGGTTTGTGTGCGAGGGGCTTGGACTTCCAGCAGGCATGCGTGAGCGTGTTTGATAGGAGTGAATGGAGACAAATGGTTTTTAATACTTGACGTGCTGTTGGAGTGTGAGCAAAGTAACATTCATGAAGGGGTTCAGGGGAAACCGCAGCCGGACTTGAGTCCTGGAGAGGGAAGTACAGTGCCCTACACCTGAAGGAGGGGTGTTAATGTTGCAGTTTAAAAACTGTAGTGTACAGCACCCTTCTGGCACCCTGCCTTGGTGGGAATCGGCCAGTGTGATAATAAAATAAATAAAATAAAAAAATAAATTTTGGATAAAAGGTTGAGGGGTAGGCTTCAGAATGTACATGTTTATAGAGGGGCAATGGATATATCAGATCATTATTTAGTTGTAGCTACAGTTAGAGTGAGAGGGAGATGGGACAAAAGGAAAATGGCAACAAGTAAGAGAGAGGTAAAAGTGTATAAATTTAGGGAGGAGGAAGTTAGGGTGAGATGTAAGCAACTTTTGACAGAAAGGTGGACTATTGCAAGTATGAGTAGTGGGGGGTTGAAGAGGGTTGGGATAATTTTAAAAATGCAGTACAGTGGACCCCCGCATAACGATATTAATCCGTTCCTGAGAGCTCATTTTTATGCGAAATTATTGTTATACGAATGAATTTTCCCCATAAGAAATAATGGAAATCAAATTAATCCGTGCAAGACACCCAAAAGTATGAAATTTTTTTTTTACCACATGAAATATACATTTTCCTACACACAAAGAGAAGGATACATGCACAATAGTAGAGTAGTACATGCACAGTATATATTGTGCATGTGCTACTCTACTAAATAAGAATAAATGACACTTACCTTTATTGAAGATGCAGCAATGACTGATGAGACACTGTGTCCTGGGAGTGCCTTTTCCTCCTGAGTACCGTAGGTCCTGTTTGGCATTTTCTTCCAGAACAGGCCTTATCACACTGTGTATGCCACTACGATTCTTAAATCTCTCAAACCAACCTTTGCTGGAGTTTACCTGGAGAGAGTTCCGGGGGTCAACGCCCCCGCGACCTGGTCTGTGACCAGGCCTCCTGGTGGATCAGCCCCTGATCAACCAGGCTGTTGCTGCTGGCTGCACGCAAACCAACGTACGAGCCACAGCCCGGCTGATCAGGAACTGACTTTAGGTGCTTGTCCAGTGCCAGCTTGAAGACTGCCAGGGGTCTGTTGGTAATCCCCCTTATGTGTGCTGGGAGGCAGTTGAACAGTCTCGGGCCCCTGACACTTATTGTATGGTCTCTTAACGTGCTAGTGACACCCCTGCTTTTCACTGGGGGGATGGTGCATCGTCTGCCAAGTCTTTTGCTTTGTAGCGAGTGATTTTTTGTGTGCAAGTTCGGTACTAGTCCCTCTAAGATTTTCCAGGTGTATATAATCATGTATTTTCTCCCTCCTGCGTTCCAGGGAATACAGGTTTAGGACCTCAAGCGCTCCCAATAATTGGGGGTGTTTTATCTCCGTTATGTGTGCCGTGAAAGTTCTCTGTACATTTTCTAGGTCGGGAATTTCACCTGCCTTGAAAGGTGCTGTTAGTTTTGCAGCAATATTCCAGCCTAGATAGAACAAGTGACCTGAAGAGTGTCATCATGGGCTTGGCCTCCCTAGTTTTGAAGGTTCTCATTATCCATCCTGTCATTTTTCTAGCAGATGCGATTGATACAATGTTATGGTCCTTGAAGGTGAGATCCTCCAACATGATCACTCCCAGGTCTTTGACATTGGTGTTTTGCTCTATTTTGTGGCCAGAATTTGTTTTGTACTCTGATGAAGATTTAATTTCCTCAGTTTACCATATCTGAGTAATTGAAATTTCTCATCGTTGAACTTCATATTGTTTTCTGCAGCCCACTGAAAGATTTGGTTGATGTCCGCCTGGAGCTTTGCAGTGTCTGCAATGGAAGACACTGTCATGCAGATTCGGGTGTCATCTGCAAAGGAAGACACGGTGCTGTGGCTGACAGCCTTGTCTATGTCGGATATGAGGATGAGGAACAAGATGGGAGTGAGTACTGTGCCTTGTGGAACAGAGCTTTTCACCGTAGCTGCCTCGGACTTTACTCTGTTGACGACTACTCTCTGTGTTCTGTTAGTGAGGAAATTATAGATCCATCGACCGACTTTTCCTGTTATTCCTTTAGCACGCATTTTGTGCGCTATTACACCATGGTCACACTTGTCAAAGGCTTTTGCAAAGTCTGTATATATTACATCTGCATTCTTTTTGTCTTCTAGTGCATTTAGGACCTTGTCGTAGTGATCCAATAGTTGAGACAGACAGGAGCGACCTGTTCTAAACCCATGTTGCCCTGGTTGTGTAACTGATGGTTTCTAGATGGGTGGTGATCTTGCTTCTTAGGACCCTTTCAAAGATTTTTATGATATGGGATGTTAGTGCTATTGGTCTGTAGTTCTTTGCTGTTGCTTTACTGCCCCCTTTGTGGAGTGGGGCTATGTCTGTTGTTTTTAGTAACTGTGGGACGACCCCCCGTGTCCATGCTCCCTCTCCATAGGATGGAAAAGGCTTGTGATAGGGGCTTCTTGCAGTTCTTGAAGAACACAGAGTTCCATGAGTCTGGCCCTGGGGCAGAGTGCATGGGCATGTCATTTATCGCCTGTTCGAAGTCATTTGGCGTCAGGATAACATCGGATAGGCTTGTGTTAATCAAATTTTGTGGCTCTCATAAAAAATTCATTTTGATCTTCGACTCTCAGTCTGGTTAGCGGCTTGCTAAAAACTGAGTCATATTGGGACTTGAGTAGCTCACTCATTTCCTTGCTGTCATCTGTGTAGGACCCATCTTGTTTAAGTAGGGGCCCAATACTGGACGTTGTTCTCGACTTTGATTTGGCATAGGAGAAGAAATACTTCGGGTTTCTTTCGATTTCATTTATGGCTTTTAGTTCTTCCCGCGATTCCTGACTTCTAAAGGATTCTTTTAGCTTAAGTTCGATGCTTGCTATTTCTCTGACCAGTGTCTCCCTACGCATTTCAGATATATTGACCTCTTTTAGCTGCGCTGTTATTCTTTTCCATCGCCTGTAAAGGGAGCGCCTGTCTCTTTCTATTTTACATCTACTCCTCCTTTTTCTTAGAGGAATAAGCCTTGTGCATACATTGAATGCCACCGAGTTAATCTGCTCTAGGCCTAAGTTGGGGTCTCTGTTGCTTAGTATATCTTCCCAGCTTATATCGGTTAGCACTTGGTTTACTTGGTCCCGCTTTATGTTTTTGTTATTGAAGTTGAATTTGGTGAATGCTCCCTCGTGACTAATCTCATTATGTCGGTCTGGGGCTCCGCGCATACATGACTGAACCTCAATTATGTTGTGATCTGAGTATATTGTTTTTGATATGGTGACGTTTCTTATCAGATCATCATTGTTAGTGAAGATGAGGTCTAGTGTATTCTCCAGTCTAGTAGGCTCTATTATTTGCTGGTTTAAATTGAATTTTGTGCAGAGATTTAAAAGCTCGCGTGAGTGTGAGTTTTCATCAGAGCTGCCTCCTGGTGTTATTACTGCAACAATATTATTTGCTATATTCCTCCATTTTAGGTGCCTTAAGTTGAAATCCCCCAGGAGCAAGATGTTGGGTGCAGGAGCTGGAAGATTTTCCAGACAGTGGTCAATTTTTAACAGCTGTTCCTGGAATTGTGGGATGTTGCATCCGGAGGCTTGTAGACTACCACAATGACTAGGTTTTGGTTCTCGACCTTTACTCCTAAAACTTCCACTACATCATTTGA